CTTCCTAGAGGGTTTTGAAAGTAGTGTAATATTCAGAGACAGAGAGTGAGCCTTGCTGAAGGCCATATATTTCCTCTTGGAGTTCTGCTATGTGAAGAAGGTCCCCTTGTAAAAAGTGCTCTTTGAGGTTAATCCAAACAATAATGGCAGTATCAAGAAAAACAATGCTCTAAGCAATGGAAGAAGATAATGAACTAAGGAGCCATGATAGAATTAGTGTGTTGCAACATTCCTAGGAGGAATGTAGTGGGTCCGTAACCTCAAGGACAGGGATGAAACCAGTTAAAAATCCCATCTTGTTCTTTGAAATCCTAGCTAAACGAAAAGAGTGAGACCGAGAGTGATAGTTAGGGCCAACCAGTGTTGGGGTGATAGTGACTAAGCCAGGACCTTCACTAGGGTGAATGTAGTAAGGACTAGCAGGATCAAGGCTGGGATTTGTTTGGTTTTGGATAGGATCACCATCAAATTTAGGGCCAGAGTTAGTATTGTTGCTAGACATAGTGAAAAGAAATGATCAATAGAGCCTCCAGTAGAGCTCTAATACCATAAAAGACAAAAGACTGAAAAGGGAATGATTAAGGAAAAAAGGTCTTTTTCTTATTATATTAATGAATAGCAAATGAACATCTTTATTCAGAATGTAGCACTATGGATAAGAACAAAGGAATAATGAAATAAAAAAGAAATAACAAAAAAATATAGCTCATCCTATTCTACCAAATTCTAGATTATTTTATTCCTAATAGCAATGTATAGCTCATTCTGAATACGTACAGAAAAGCATAGCAGAAGAATATATTGTTGGGCTAAGAGCAATTGGAATTGAGCCTCTATTATGTTAAAATATGAAATTATTATCAATGAAAATAAATTTTGTATATATTCTGAATAGTTTCTATAAAATATATTTTTTAGGAAACTTGTGTTAAATCTCATAGCCATTAGTAAAGATAATAATTTAAGTGCACCTAATTAGGTCCTAAGAGAAGTTTATCTATTAGATAAAATCACCCATGCATAGAAAAATTATCAATAAGATACACAGTAGAAACTCTTTAAATTAATAATGTCAGGACCAGATAAATTTATTAATTTAGAGAGTTATTAATTTATCGATAAATTAATAATTATTAATTTAAAGAGTTTTTAAGTAATTATACTGTACATACCAAACAAAAAGGAAAATTAATTTATGCCTCTTAGAATTACGTTGCAGCGAATCTTGGGACTCAACGTACAATAAATTAGTAACTACACTACATATGCATTGGAAATCAATAATGACTTTTGAAGTACAGTAAATGTAAACAAGAGGAACAAATGTGTTCAATGTATTCTTAAACAAGTTTGGCATATATAAATTACATGAATGTGTTAGAGTATTCAAACCATATCTCACAAGATGGCTTCTCATCTAAAAGGTGTTGCAAAATCAACTATGTCAGATCAAATACGTAAGGAGTTGTGTGAGTATAAGAGAGATAATCCTGCAAGCACACAAAAAGACTTGCAGAGATGGCTTGAGGGAAAATTTCAGTTGAAAGTTAGTCAAGGAACAATATCAAACACACTTAAGCGGTCAGATGACTATCTCTCTGCTAAAATAGAAAAGGGAAGAGCAGAGATCAAAAGACACAAACCAGCAAAATATCCTGACATGGAGAAGGTTGTTTATGAGTGGTTTCTCCAACATAAAAAACGTGTGAATATCACAAGAGAATTAATTTTGCAGAAGGCAAGAGATACAATGAAACTCGTGTACCCTCATGATGATTCAGATTTTAACTTCTCTATAGGATGGCTTGGGAAATTCAAGCACCGACATGGCATAAAGTCATTTCATCATTTTGGTGAGAGTGAGTCTGTTGATATACAAGACATGGAGCAGAAATTGGTATCGATTCGGGAGAAAATTGATCAGTTCCCTATGAAAGATGTTTTCAATATGGATGAAACTGGGTTGTTTTATAGGCTACAAGCTGATCATTCACTGGCAACAAAACAACTTGAAGGAAGAAAACAAGATAAAGAAAGGCTTACGGTATTTATTTGTTGCAATGAAGATGGCTCTGAAAAAATCCCTCTATGGATTATTGGGAAATATGCAAAGCCTCGTTGCTTCAAGAATGTCAACATGAATAGCTTGAATTGTCAGTATCGAGCTAACAAAAAAGCATGGATGACTAGTGTGCTTTTTAATGAATATGTTCGTTCATTTGACCAAATGATGCATGGTAGAAGAGTTCTGCTTGTGGTGGATAATTGTCCAGCACATCCAAGAAATATTGAAGGGCTAAGAAACATTGAGATGTTCTTCTTGCCACCCAACATGATATCAAAGATTCAACCTTGCGATGCTGGGATAATAAGAGCTTTCAAGATGCATTTACTGTAGAAGATTTTACCGCAAAATATTGGAAGGTTATGAGGTGGGACAATCTAATCTAGGAAAGATAAATGTCCTTGATGCTATCAGTTTGGCAATCCCAGCTTGGACGATAGATGCTCGAAAAGAAATAATAGCGAATTGCTTCCGACACTGTAAAATTCATTCAGATAGTGACGTTACAAGAAATTTGGATGAATCCACTTTTGATGAAGAAACTCAAGACCTCGAGACTATGATCAATCAATGTGGCTATCGTAATAAGATGGATATCGACAATCTAATGAACTAACCAGGTGAAAATGAAGCATGTTCGGAAGTTCAGAGTTTAGAAGATATTGTGGGTACTATCATTGAGAACAATGCAGAGGATGACGACGAAGATGATACAGTGTCTTTGGAGCCTGTTATGCGAAAGGAAGCACTTATGGCGTCGAGCACTCTTCACAACTTTATGAGACAATACAAAAATACAACACCTAAGCTATTGGATGCAATAAGAAAAAGTTAGAGATAAGCTCCAAATAGACTTGAACTTTAAAGGAAAACAGACAACTATTGAATCATATTTCAATAGAGTGTAATATATTTTTTTTAGTTTCTATGAATTATTAATTTATGATTTTCTTGGGACCAAAAATTATAAAGGGATCTCCCGAAAAATTATTATCTTATTATTTTATTGAATTTTTCAATTTTTTATATTGGCCCAAGTCGGGACCGGATAAATTTATTATTTTAGAGAGTTTATTAATTTATCGAGTATTAATTTAAAGAGTTTCTACTGTATATATATATATTTATACAGGCCGACCTGTCAGGCTTAACAGGCATTATAAATAGATCAGGCTTGATTTATTTATTTAAACAAGCCTTAAAACAAGCCTAAGTCTGGTTTATTTATTAAAAAGGTCAAGTCAGGTCAAGCCTAAACCAGGCCAAGCCACAGACCTCTGTCAAGCGGCCTGACCGATTTCCATCCCTATTTGTTCGTATTTTTCACTCTCTTATGTTCTCTTCATCTTTTCTGTTAGCTTGCTCTCTTCATCTTCTCTCGCTAACAAATTATTTGTTTTCACATCTGTAGGTACCTTTTCATTTTCTATTAGTATGCTCTCTTCATCTTCTCTGCACTAACAATTGATTTTTTTTTCACATCTTTGGATACTTCTTTATTCTCTGTTAGCCTGCTCTTTTCATCTTCTCTGCGGTAACAAATTAATTTTTTTTTTACATCTATAGGTACTTCTTCATTCTCTCTCTCTTTCTTCTTCTTTTTATTAACGTTGAATCATTCATTCTCTCCTTCTTTCTTTTTCTTTTTGTTAACATTAAAAATCATCCTATTAATTTGTTCTCTTTTTTCTATACTTACTTGTGTTTGGTTCACGTAGATATGGACTGTTTGGTTAACACTAAATGTATAAACTCAAGATTCAATTTTGATTTGTGATAAAAATGAAGAAAACTCACAAAGAAATCAATTCTAAATTTTGATTTAGACGTAATAATAAATTAATTTTACTTTAAAATCAAAAATTCAAAAAGAAATCAATTTCAAATTTTAAATTCGCCGTCTACATTTATACTTTAAAGAGCGGTTCCATCCAATCTTAACATTTGAGAGCATTCTTTAATCGCTCTCTTAAATATAACACATCAGATAACGCAAAATTTTAGAACAGTTCTAAACGCTCTTTAATTCAAACAGAATCGCTCTCAGATCTCTGTTCTGGCATAGTGATTAGACAAATTTTTTTTGATAATTTGTTGCATCCAAGGTTATAAGGTTACAAGAATAAAGTTGTATTTGAAAAGGAATTTGTCAACAAATAGTGTTGATTCGGAAAATTTGGTAACATTTGTCTACATGGTCTAAGCCATCTTTCTAGGTAAAAAAAATGAAACATATAAAAAATGTGATCCCCAATCAAACATCATTTCAGTAATAAGACCAAACCCTTTGAAGGAATATTGTTGGTGATTATGTGTGTGTTATTGTCTTGATAAAAATGTGCATATAGTACGAGAAGTGTTATTATCTATTGTGAATGTTTATGTTATTGTTTAACTAAATGATTGGTTTAAAGGTGAACAAATGATTCTCTAGGATCAATCGTTCTTGTGCAACTCTTTTATGAAGTTAATGTCTAAAAAGTTACAATTTTTTTTTTTATGTTCTGCCCGAAAATTAACCACAAATTTTTCAAGGATGGTTTGATCAAGCACAATCTAATTCAGGGAGAAAAGTGTCGCCGAGTTGATGAGATTTTCAAACTCTTCCATACTTAAAATATTTGCTTCTGATGTTTCTGCATTTGGAGCACTTCAAAGTGTAGCTAGGTGGTGTAAGTGGAGTTATGCAAAGGTTTGTCTTTTTAAATCTAGGTGAAGTAATATTTCGTAATTATAATCACGAATTTTTTAATTTACTTTTTAAATTTGATTTAATAAAATTATTATTTTGTCGTAAAGCAATTAAAATCTGAATTGTGGAATCTGCATCAAATGGTTTCGTACCAAAGAACAAAAGAAACACGGACCGCATGCCTCGTCACAATGTACGCCACGCATATAAAAGAGAGAGAATTTGGAAATAATGCGAACAAAAATGGCGGGAACTCTGGCAACGATAGAACAGTCAGCGAGAGAGCAATGGGAGATCAACTTCGCCCGCTTCATTCCCTATCCCATTCTCACTTCCTCTCCCTCTCCCTCTTCAACTCTCCTTCCTCTCCCTCCTCGCCTCCTCAATCGCCCTCCCCGCGGCAACTGGATCTCTTCCTCCTCCGTCGCCTTCCTCCGCCTCTCCTCTCCCCTCTCCCTCCTCACCGTCTCCTTCAACGCCACACTCCTCGTCAGTCCTTACTAGAACATTACTTTTTTCTCTTTTCCCTCCCTAACTATAATGAATGAGACCTCCGTTTTATTTTTATAAAATGTCACAGGAAGAGCACTACGTTTCCAAACTCCACTTTTCGTGGCCTCATGTCTCGTGCGTCTCTGGATACCCTGCCAGAGGCATCAGAACCGTTCTAGTTAGTTACCGAGATTCCCTAGGCCAGGCAAGATTCTATGTTCTACTACATCTTTTTATTATATTCCAAGTCATTGCCAGTTATTTAAACGCGTGTCATTGTCAAACACAATGTTCATTCTTGCTTTAGCCATTGTAACTCTGCATATATGGAATAGATCTCTCAATAGTATTTGATGAAAGCATTTTCCGTTTTGGCAGATTCAAAAGTTTGCTATGCGGTTTCCGTCGATTTATGAAGCGCAGTCGTTTATAGATGCTTTGAAGGTGATGATTGCTTCTTATGGTATTGTAATCGGCGTTAAGAAAATTGTGTGGAACAAGAGGATGCGTTTCTGAAACCTCGTTGTTTCCTTGTGAATTGTTGATGATTGTGTTATTCTCAGGAGTTTCTGAAAGATGACAAGGAGCCAGAGCCTCTGAATACTGACTTTGGTTCTGAAATTTCATCCCAGTCAGAGTTCATGTCATCAAACAAGCATTCCCAAAGGTATAAAGAAGTTTTGTGCGATTGGAGGAATGGGAGGATGTGATTGTGAGTTTAATGCCTTCATAGATTGTTATTTGTCATTTGGAGAGAAAGGAATAATCTCTTAACACATTCTATTTTACATACTCTCATTTATTTGTTATAATTTATTAAAAATTATAAAAGTATAACTAAGAATCAGTAAATTAGAAGTGAGACCGTGTAATTTTCATAATTTTCAATAATAAATAGTGTGTTTAAATGAGTTGTGTCAAAGACTCTGCTCCTAAAATTTCTCTTAACCTTTCACTAATTTGTTATCTTTTTCATTTACATCCTTTGTTCTGTCTTTTTCCCCGTTGTTTTTTGTCCATAGTTGATGTGTTTCTCATTACTTGTGGTGAAGTAATGGGTTTGTCTACTTAGACATGGGTAAATAACCTTATTATAAGTGGATTTATTAGAAAATATATCAATATTTTATTGACAAAATCTCTTTCGTCCACATAGGATGGGATTATTTATTCCATAAAGTAGCCTAGACAAACCTTGAAGTAATAGTTTACTTAAATTTGTGGTGGAGACGGGGCAATATATACTGAACCTTGCTGTATTTGTACTTTTGTAGGGCTTGTGAGGACCTTAGCTTTATGACCCCGGTTGACAATTACATTCCACAAATGCCACTGTGTATGAATGATGAAGGGGAGCGACCTTTAGCGACCCAAGTAAAGGAAACAGATCCTGGTCAAAACTTTGAAGGCGTTCTCCCAGTTTTGCCACCCAGTTTTGCCACACTACTCATGGATTGCTCTGAGAACAAGGGTTGGTGAACTTTTTTGTTTTAACGAAATATGGGTTCTGATTTTTACCACAACCTATTTCATTTGAATAAAATCATATCTTGCAGCTCAACCAACCGTTTCCGAGGAAATTGATCTCAAGTCCCAAATCGTGGTACATATTTTCAAATTTTTGCTAAAATATTACTGGTTGATGCTTTGACCATCAGGTTGCATTGATATGTTGCTCATTATAAAGTTTAATGTATAAGATGCAAATAGTTCGGAAGTGCATCTTCTCTACTGACCATTTGTTGTTGCACGTTATTTCTTTCTTTGCATGCAGAGGTACATGGAAGATTCTTCCTTCCAAGGTAGCATTCCCTCCTTGTTGCTTATCAGTAAGATCGTTGGTTAAATTTGTCGTTCCATTTTATTTATTTAGTTGTTTTTTCTCTCTCTGTCTTCAGTCCTAGGGTAGAGCTCCAATGGAAAATGATGAAAATTTCTTACTTTTCTTTGGTTTGAATATGAACATAATGCACCCAGTAGTCACCTCATATCAGTTGTAGTTTTTAGTTGTGCTCTTTGTGCTTACGAATTATTAGAGGTCTTGCTTGTGCTACATCCATTCCTTCGTTAATATTGTATGGTCTGATAAATTGTGTCCTATCGACTCATGTACCATTTTCATGTTATTAGATATGTTGGTTAAGGTGGAGAAAGTAATCAGCGAATTGGGGGGCGATATGTCCCTCTAGTTGTCCTGGGCATTGAAAATGACGTGAGGGGCATCTTTGCATCTCAACCGGCTGACTGAATCATGGTGACCTTCAGCACATATTGCCCAAAAAATGTACAGCGGATTTCTCTCTCCTTCCATTATCTCTTAACTACGCACATTGCGACTGAGATACTGATTCAAGCCTAAATTTCGTCTTAGCTTTTATTTTTCATTAAGTAGCAATGCCAGAAGAAGGCAATGTATGATAGGTAAGGTTTAGCTAGTGAAATCATAGCAAGTGGTTTCTGTTTAAAAAATGCTACCTAAAACAGTGATCTCAGAAAAATTTTAATCTAATATAGTACAAAAATTTTGATATTGAGCTTTTCTCCACTTTGTCACCAGATGGTATGGAGTTCAGCAAAATTGAGGCATTACATCCCTGTTTTCCATTACAGCTACATTCATTTAGAAACTCTTCACTGCATAATTTTCAAGTTATTCTCACCTCAATGACTCCAAGTGTTTGAGTCGAATATTTATTTCGAGACGAAAAATAAGGTTAACTGAATATAGACGACTATAAATTTTGCTTAAGATTAGTGATGGGAAGACAGGACAACTAGAGACGGATGTGTAGTTAAGGGGAAAAGCTAACACCAAGGAAGCAATCTTAAGATGAAAGAAGGAACTTATTGCACCTGGACTTGTCCAAACAACCTCCACGTGGTCCTTTGTCACAGTTTGTTCTGTATTTGAACAACTCTAGCTTTAGAACACTTCCTTGAGATTGGTAATGATTTTGTTAACGTCTGGTTGTTAACTGCTACTTCATACACCCGTGATTTGAGGGGAGGTTTCTTATCTTGAAATGCCCCATCAAACCCTTAAAAGTTTTTTAAATAAGTTGTTATAAATTTCTACGGTCACAATTTCACAATAAATATATTTTCGGGCTTTGGCATAGAGTTAAAACCTTGAAATGGAAAAAAAAGTCAATTGGAAAACGAAAGAAAACAAAAAGGCGCAAAAACTTACAGAAATTAAAATGAAGATTATAAAATACGAGGTCATCCTGATTTTCATAACTCAATATAATTTTTAATAGGTGCCTTTGTGTGGTGCCTCCGGTTTGCAGAGGGCATGTTGTGTCCTGTGTACGAGTACAAATTGGAGATAATATATGTATTTAAATACTGAAAACATAAATTTGCTAAGTAATTCTTCGGAGTTTAAGTTATAATTTTAAGAAGTGAACCACCTTTGTAAGTAAAACTGACAATCTTACCCAAGTTAACAAATTTCTAACCCAAGTTAACATTGTAATATGAGTTTCAAACTAATCCAAGTAAAAGGTGTTGATGTTATCTTTCAAAACGTAGAATTCCTAACCCTAACCACGTGAATTCATGCCATTCTCTGGCCGTTGAAATCACCATTGCTTAAGTTTGTGATTCTTTCTGCCATCTTCGTTTCGCCCATCAGATCCACCAAACTGAACCCATAGAATCATCAATGTTGGCTTCTTTAGATGTGTCAGTGACTCAGTGTTGGCTTCAAAGGTTTTGAACAAAGAGACGATCTTGAAAGATAAGCGCTGCGTTTTATTCTACCATCAACATTGTGTCATCCGTCATGAGCGGTTGTGGTGGAAATTTTAATATGTCACTTGTTCTCTTTGACAGGTTGTTGGTAGGCATTTGAGTTTTATATCTCAAGCTTAGAAATCTCAAAATAATGGGATGGGGTATTCTAATCTCTTTATTTTTCGTTGATTTTATTAAGAGCCAGTTGTAGATATCGCGGTTGCTCTTTCAAAAGTTCCTAAACTAATTCTCAATAGTTGTAATTGGATAATCTAGTTAGGACATTTTTTTTAATATAACTATTTCTTTTTTATGGAAGCATCAAAACTTCGGAAAGTGTGTCTGAACTTTTTATTCCAAAAGAAGTTTTGCTCCAAATAGAATTGTTGAACGTACATCTAATGCCCTTTTCAGCTGGAGTATTAATAAAATAAGTTTGATAATTTTTTATCTTTTAAGAATTGCAAAAAGTATCCTACAAATTTTATATGGTAAATTTAAAAAATACTGTATAGCTTAAACGTAAAAAAAGAAAATGAACTCCATCTCCATTATATCTGTGCATGACCTCCTCAAAAAAAATAGTGTGAGAGACAAGCTTTAAGGGAAGTACGCAGACAACTGCAGGGGCTTCCGTCAGTTATAGCTAAGCTTTCTAAAACTTATTTTTAATATGAGGAAGAATATACCCCTTTTGTGTTTTGTTGGGATTTTTCCCCAACTTGTACTTAAGGGCTTTCGTTTTTCACTTTTATCGCACTGTCGCATAAACAATGGAGCTGCTAGGCTGGATGAGCAACCTTCTCTAGCCCTCCCCCGTCGTTGGGGACCTTTCAAAGCACCCATTCATGGCGTGGAAGCTGGGCATGAACCTTCTGGATTGACCGACTGTTTTTCGGGTTCCAAATCGACAACGTGCAAAATAAGAGAGCATTAGGTTCTCCATCTCACAAACTTGCAAAAGTGTACGTTTCGATAATTATGCTACTGTCACTTGTTTGAAATTTCTATTCAACTTAGAATTTTTATGATTTTTATTAATTTTCTACCTACAAAATTACTTATTTATTTATGATCAAATATATTTAAATTTTGACAACATTGTAAGTTAACCCCTACTAATACTTGTGATAGACTTTAGTTTGGTTCGTATTTTATTTTCTCGATGAATTTGCCCTAATGTTTATCGTCTAGTTAAGTGATGTACTTTATTTTAGAAATCCATGATGAGTTTCATGTTAAACATCATTTGTCATTAGTGATTTAATGACGTATGTGCATATAAAAGTTTTGCATGCTTGTGCAATTTCATGGAATAATTTGATGTTTTACGAATTTAGTTCAACAAAAATGTTTAAATTCTAATTAAGTAATTTTATTTTAAATATAAAGTTAATTATATTTAAAAAAATTATATTTAAAAAAATGTTTAAATTCAAATTAAAAGTAAGTAAATGACCACCTTTTCAACATACGTATCTCTTATTTATATATATATATTTTTCGTTTTATTGGTGGGACGGCGTCGTAGGGTCATATTTGGCACTCGCGCTTTCGAGCTTCAATTCAGCGAACCAACTCAACCTGAATCGAACGCGTCGATACATTGCAACAATAGAAGAAGTAGCAATAACTCTGAACAAAACCCGTAGCTCCAAGTCCTAACTGCAGGAACAGAAAAAGAATGACCCTACCCATGGTTTAGCTTCAAACATGGCTCACTGAACCCAACCATTTCCCCCACATCCATTTCTGTTTCCGATCCGATCCAATCCAATGGCTGGGGCAGCTTCTGCTCTGTTCCTTCTCGACATCAAAGGCCGCGTCCTCATTTGGCGCGATTACCGTGGTGATGTCTCCGCCGTCGAAGCCGAACGCTTCTTCACCAAACTCATCGAGAAAGAGGTTCCTTCCTTCTTTTCACCTTTTTGCTTATTTTTTTATGTTTCTATAACTCCAATTTAACTTAGCCTCATTTATCAGTACTTTGATTCCGGTGCTGTTTGGAACAATTTGATTCTGCTGATTTTTTAATGCGATTATTAAAGATTGCATCGAAACTTGGCTTGGAGAGTTTCGATTGTTGTTTGCGAGTCCTCTAGCGTTATGTTTTGAGAAGACGAATAGTGAAGTTTGTTTCTGAAATTGTGGCAGGGTGATCCACAGTCTCAACATCCGGTTGTATATGATAATGGTGTGACTTACTTGTTTATACAGCATAGCAATGTTTTCCTCATGACAGCAACCAGACAAAACTGCAACGCCGCTAGCCTCCTCTTCTTCTTACATCGTACGGTGGATGTAAGTGTTACTTGTTAGTTTTGGTTTTAAATCTTCGAATTGAAAACTTAAACTTTTGTGTAGTTTGTGCGATAATGATTGGTGGAAATGATCTGTTTCTTTGAGGCAGGTGTTTAAGCATTATTTTGAAGAATTGGAAGAGGAATCTCTTAGGGATAACTTTGTTGTTGTGGTAAAGTGCTGGTGTATCCTTGAATGCTGTTCTTTACAGGTTGAATTAATTCGTCTAGGTTCAATGCTGATGTTCTTGTGCCCTTGGCAGTATGAGCTACTTGATGAAATAATGGACTTTGGCTACCCACAATATACTGAAGCAAAGATTCTTAGTGAATTTATCAAGACGGATGCTTATAGAATGGAAGTTACTCAGAGACCTCCCATGGCTGTAACAAATGCTGTATCCTGGCGCAGTGAAGGGATAAACTACAAGAAAAATGAGGTGGCCGTTAGAATATCATCTCGACTTGAGATTTCATGGTCTAAGCTACCGATTAATATTCTCTTGTTTTCCAGGTTTTCTTGGATGTGGTGGAGAGTGTTAACACACTTGTCAATAGCAATGGACAGATAATTAGGTCTGATGTTGTTGGGGCATTGAAGATGAGAACATATTTGAGGTTTGCTAGAACTATTCTATTTCGAGCTATTGACATGGGTTACTAGTTAACTGAGTTAGCAATATGATTTGCGTAGGTTTGAGGGGCATGTTGTTTTGTTTTTATAAGAACAGAGAAAAGAAAAGAGATGAAAAGTGTTTTTCAGAGGATGAATAAATCTTTATTGAATGGCTCTATATTTAGAGCTGGAGTCTAACAAAAAGATAAGAGATATTCCTCATTCAAGGCATAATTGAGAATGCAAATGAAAATAGCATTTTGGAGTATGTTATTTTCTGCTACTGAGTACTGATTAGACAAGATCAGATTGCTTTATTCATACTGTTAGAAACATAATTTACTAATCAGGTACTAGGTATATTGCAGTTTGGTCCAACCACTAAAGTTTATTGCACTCTACTTTTACAGTTGATAGTGGTTTGGATTTTGGAAGACTACACTCAATATGAAGTGTCTGTTATTGTAATCAAATTCTGTGATGGAGTGTTTATCTAAACATTTGAATATTCCATTCATTCTTGTATAATGCAGTGGTATGCCTGAGTGTAAGCTTGGGCTAAATGATAGAGTATTATTAGAGGCACAAGGTAGAGCAACCAAAGGAAAAGCAATTGACTTGGAGGACATCAAATTTCATCAGTATGTGTGCTTGATTCTCTTCCTTGTATTCACTAATTAGTAATTATGGGTGAAAATTTTAATATATTCTTTCTTCAAGCAATTGATTTGGAGGACATCAAATTTCATCAGTATGTGTGCTTGATTCTCTTCCTTATATCACTAATTAGTAATTGTTGGTGAAAATTTCAATGTATACTTTCTTCAAGGATGTTTATCTCTATTATTGACTGGTTCTAAAATATTGTGCTGACACTTGGCAAAGGTGTGTGCGTCTGGCTCGATTTGAGAATGATCGAACAATTTCCTTTATCCCGCCTGATGGATCATTTGATTTGATGACATATAGGCTCAGTACACAGGTTCATCTTCTTATCTAGATATGCAATAAATTTGTTTGAGTGGGGTCACATGAATTAAGTCTCTTGATTCTACAAACTATGTTTCCAGGTTAAGCCTTTATTCTGGGTGGAAGCCCAAGTTGAAAAGCATTCAAAAAGCCGGATTGAGATTATGGTAAAAGCTAGGAGTCAATTTAAGGAACGTAGGTACTGAAATCCCCCCGCCCCTTCCATCCGTTCCTTTTCCTCTGACTTTTCCTTCATGAAAGTGGTCTTAAATTATGTTCTGATGCTGAGTTGTTTGCTCTAGATTTTGGACCACTCTATGCATTTACTTCCCCAGCTACTAATAGAATTTTATTTCATAGTACTGCCACAAATGTTGAGATTGAGTTGCCAGTGCCTGCTGATGCAACCAATCCAGATGTTCGGACTTCAATGGGATCTGCATCATATGCACCAGAAAAAGACGCATTAATCTGGAAAATAAGATCATTTCCTGGTGGCAAGGTATTAGTTAACTTGGAAATGGCATTGTACCCATGAATAACACCCATAATTGATGCCTCAATATGTTGTGAATTAATGGATTTGGTTCTATTATTTGATACTTCAGGAGTACATGTTAAGAGCAGAATTTCGGCTTCCCAGTATAACTGACGAGGAAGCAACTCCTGAGAGGAAAGCTCCTATACGTGTAAAATTTGAGATACCATATTTTACTGTGTCTGGGATCCAGGTACACGTACAATAATTTTTATTATACCCTGAATGTTGTTATGCTTGTCTATCTATCTCTGTCTGATTAGAAGATGAATATTTCCAGTATTATATATCTCACTTTCTCTGTCCCCGTTTGTCTTTTGGTGTCTCACCTATCACTTTGATTATTATTGGGGGCTGAAGAAATAATTCTTGTGAACTAGAAGAATCTTTTGTAGTTCAAATTTGTTTTCATGGTTGAGTTGGTATTCCATTCACAAATAGTGTTTGTAGATAAATATTAAATTGGAAAATAATTGCTAATTCTGAATGTGAAGAAAGAACTTGACATCCTAAATGGATCAGAAACTCACATGAATTTATACCCTTTCCGTGACTAATCGTTTTGTGTAGTAGTTGTATTATGGAATGTATAAGAGGCTCTAATCTGAATGAAGCATCAATATCCACATGATATAATGTTGAAATCTTGTAGGTTACCATATAGTGTGATGTTTCATTTCAGTTTAACGAGTTTTTGATTGATTAATAAAGATACTAATCAACATGTCAATGTTTTGATTTGTAGGTAAGATATTTGAAGATTATTGAGAAAAGCGGGTATCAGGCTCTTCCATGGGTGAGATACATAACAATGGCTGGAGAGTATGAATTGAGGCTTATTTGATATTAGTGTCCTCGTTTGGTATCCCCGAAATAATTGTATCATTCAATGATTAATGCTCACAAAGCTGGTGGATGGCAGAGGGAGTCTTTAGTCAAATTAAATAGAATTTACTTGGCGGACCACATCAGATTATAAGTTACACATTGTCTAGATAGTTGGTTTCAACTGAAAATCATTAGTTGGCAAGTGTGAGCCTGAAACTCTTGAAAATCCCTTCGGTCAAATCTGTTTTGATTGGGAAAATGATTGGTTCTTTTCTTTTTTCTTTTTTCTTTTTCTTTCTTTTTCCCTTGGGTTCCTTTTCTGTAATCACAATCTGTCCATCTTTTTCCACCGTCTTCAAATTGTAATCTGATTTACGATATGAGAATTGTTATCTTTTGTAATGACTTCTAGAGACCAATTATAAATAGGGAAACAGTTGTGGCACAGCCATTTATGATCAATATGTATATTTTAAATACTTATTCACAAAGTTTTATAGACAAATTAGAGAAAAGCGCATGTGGATACTTGAAACGGTTGCGGGACCTGTTGTTACCATGGATGCTAATAATTCTACAGGGCCCAAAAGAATGCCTCAAAAGTTGAAGAGGTAGAATGGCTTTTTGCACTTTTAGAATAATTTTAGAAGTTACACTAGCTAGTTATGATGAAATATACGAGAAAATTCATTATGTTTCTTATCTTACTTTTACATCTCTGGGAAGCTACTCTGACCTTAAATCAAAGCTTATTCCCTTATCATTGGTTCATTGGTCCTTTCGTTGAGAGTGACCCTTTTTTCCATTATGGATGGATTATGGACTTCGATTCAAAACTAACAAACTTGATTAGCTCCTTCAAAAAAAACTCTTCGTTCTAAGTTTTTGTCACTTCCAAATTTGACAAGATGGTTTCTAGTGGATCCACCTTGGAGATGAGGTCTCTCACCTCTGCTTCCCACTTGGATACTCATTTTCATTCACCAGATTCTTTCGGGTCATAATGTCAATTCCTTAAGTAGGATGTTCCCTGATTTGAAGGCACCAACCCTCTCGGTTGGATTTTCAAGATTACGTAATTTTTTTATTATCATGAAACCCTTGAAGAATAGTGGTCACAATTGTTTCCTTTTACCTAAGCGAAACAACTCTAACTTGGTTCCAATGAATGTATTGCAACGGCCAAATCCATTTTTGGGCCTAATTCTTGCAAGCTTTGGAGACTCGTTTCACCCTGTCAACATACTACAATCCCATAAATAAGTTGTTTAAACTTCATCAAAACTCCACAATCAGTGAGTATTTGAGTAATTTTGAGTTATTAGTCAATCACATTGTGGGATTGCCTCCTCGATTTTTGCCAGTTGTTTTATCTCGAGACTCAAGCTAAACATTCAGCGTGAGGTGTTGCCTCAACAACCTTCTTTATCTAGAGTGACCGGTCTCTATAAGGAAGAAAAACAGTGTCGAGGTTGTAACATCCTAATTTTACTCTTTCCATATTTATGTGTGTTAGCACAATTTAATCTTTTTCAAAGGTAATTCAATACATTTTGCAAAATTTTACGATGTTAATTAAATAAGTTTTGAGATAAAAGTACTTATTTTTTTCCATTAAAATAATTCATCTTTAATACATGTTGATTTATTTTTGAAAGATGAAATTTTCTAATACTTTGTATTATTTACATATCCCTTAACTATATTTGATTTTTAAATTTCATACACACCAATGAAGGTAGTATAGTGGTGGAATTGTTGGTCCCTTACTCTAGACTTAGGGGACTTAGGTTCAATCTACTAAGTTTAATTTTGATTTCAGATTTTTAGTGTGTGAAAGGTCCATGATGCCCTTGCATGCAAAACATAGGTGGCAATTCCTTGTTCTTCTTACGAACATGCATAACATGTAGGTGGCAAAACTATGTTATGCATGATATAGGTGGCAAAATCTCATTTCAAGTTCTTTTGTTTCTTTTCTTCCTCCTGTAAGCTCTCTTTCTTTCTCACTCTCGGTTTCTCTCATCTCTCCCAACTTTCTTCTTCATTTTGCAGCAACTTTGTGTTCGAAATCACCACCCTTTACAGCCAAAACCTTGAACACTTCCTCCTCCATGAAAAAGCATGGAGCTTTCTATGTCCAGCCACTATGTGAGTCAATTTTAACCATCTGAAAGTATTTTGTTTGGCCTAACCTCTGCATATTTTGATTGTGCAGTGAAAAATCTTTCAAATGCAAGTGGTTTCACTCAAAACAGACGTCAAAATCACAAGTTATAGTGAAAATAGTGAGATCACTCATTGTTTTGCGTTTTCAGTGTTTTAACAGCAAAGGAGACTATTTCTCTCATTTCTGTTCTCCCCAAACCTAACATGCAATACCCCTATGTATTCTTTGCAGAATTATCTTTCCAAAGGTGTATCTTGAGCTCAAATCTGACATCATTTACCCCCTCAATTGCTTAGAATATATGAGGACTTTCATTTTTATGTTTTCTGTAGAAACAATATAAAGAAATAATTTTTACGCCCTCTGTATTGATCTGTTTCAACTAAAAAACTATTTTTTCATAAACTACATGAAAACAGCTTTCCAACGCATATTTTTATGTTAAAATTTTGGACTTCATTTGAATACCTTACAAAATAAATTATAAAAGTGGTGCAAAGCTGAAAAACCTACGTGAACAGCAGTGAAGTTTGATTTTTCTACAATTTCCTGTGCATGAAAACTTAATTTTTAAAAGTTGATTTTGATCCTTAGGATCTTAGCTTTCTAACAAAATTTGTGGATCGTGATTTGCACTTCGTTTGAATCCGTTAACCTTAATTTTACATTGTGTAAATCTGAAGTTTTCCGGTTTTCTGTAATAAGTGCATGGCTGTTTCTGAATTTTTAAAAATACTATCTCTTGGCCATTTTGTCTCAAAGGATTCTAATAGACTCTTCTCTGAACTAGGAACGAATCAAGAAACTGCAAATTTTGACACTGGGAAGTCCAAGAAAAAGAGCCTACGGACTACCTCACTCACCAAGGTAAGAGAGAGAAAGTATTTCAAGTAAACAGTAAGAAATGAAATGAATCAAAGAGGGTTGTCCTTTGACCCTGCGGTCTAAAACACATGTATTAGGAGATATGTAGTGTTTAAATTATATGTTAGTATTTTTGAGCCTTTGCTTGAGAACTTCTATATTTGAAATGAAATTGTAAATGTTTGTTTAAATGTGATGACTCTCAATTTTGATTGAGAATTAATTTTCACTTAACGTTTGAGTAAATATTGTATTATAAAAACTTGTGAATTATTTGAAGTGAACAATTTACTCAAAAGTTTGTTGAAAACACAAAGTCAATTTAATGAAATGTTTTATTGAAATGCCCAATATGAATATGTATGCTCGGTGTATTTGAACAAGTTATCTTATATGTTGTGCTCTTTGAAAATATATGATCTGACGCATGTGTTGATTGTGTAAAGCACTAAAAGTATGCATATAGGCATATGCAGGCTGAGTGGGCACCATTTGTGAATTTAAGCCCCTTAAGAGTGTGAAATGCGTAATGATACGCTAAGAGAAAATTGGTATGTAAGTATATGAGTTCTAAGGAGTTTGGCCATGGTTTCAGATACGACCTTGAGTTCAATAATTGAATCTAATGATTAAAAGTAAACCTTTGTGAAAACTTTGTTTTCCTTCTTTTTAAAAATAAATAAGTAGTATAACTCTAGTCAGGTAATGGTTGGAACTTAAGGAAAGAAATGAAGCTAGTGAGCTTGGAACACTTAGAGAAATGATGTGATGCGAAATGATGTGAAATCTTAAACTTGGCCAACGCTTATGTGCGTGATTAAGGGAATGAAACTCTAAAAGTGTGCATGACTATTCAGAAGGCAAATGTGTGCGGATTCTCACTCCCTTGTGAAGGAAGTCACGATGTTATTTTATAACTATTGTTGGTAAAAGATAGGGAGGACCTCGATGTCTAGGGGATTTAATGGAGTTGGGTGACTTAGCAATAGCCCTATGAGTGTCCTAGGCCCCGGAACTCTGGCTAAGAGTCTCCACTTGATGCTCCTTTATCCTTACCTTCTCCTAAGGCTTATCTTGTTGGTCGAGTTATATCAGTTGGTGGAGGTTCGAGTCCCCACCATACATGCGAAATGTAGGCTGGCTAGTGAAACTCCTAACAACTTCCGAACAATAGAATTGTTATGGATCCAGAGTCACATAAGCATGAAAATGAAATTTTGTCAAACCAAGATTTATCATTTGCATTAATCATGCATCATGTAATTAGACTTGCATTTTGTTAGATTGTAAAAGTTACAATGGTGTTAATGTGACGTATGCTCGTACTTTATTTTGTTTCTTTTCTGAAGGTTATTCATTTAGAAATATATATCACTCCTTCTTTTCTTTGTTGAAATATATTGTGGTGTTGGACATTTTCTTTTAGTTGTCAAAGATCTTGAGGATGACCTTTCTCTGACTTATTCTTCACGTCGAACTCAATTTGAAGAGGATCCTTTAGATACTAAGGAGATAGAGGAAGACCCTTCCAAGGAGTCATGATCGTTGTTGAGTTATTTCTTTTGTTGTCTACTGCTAGAGAACTCCACTCATTGTATGGTGGAGAATTCGATACTTTATATTTTATTGTGGTAGCTTGGGTGTAATGTATTTTGTTTTGGTACTCTGATGGTCATGGATACTTTGGATAATTATGGGATTATTTATATGACCAGGTTTATGTTATCAGTTATCTTCTGATTTTATTTATATGGAATTAAATAGGTAGGAAATTGTTTCTTCAATGCATGCAGGTAATGAACGTGAACTGTATGGGTTCGTCCTCTAAGAGAGTTCTAGTTGAAGTGATAAATCACATATTATATCTCATATTATTAGTAATTGGCTCATGAGCAAGTGAAAAATATTTTAAGTCCACTTGTATAGTTTATGTCAATATATGGTATGGTTATATTATTCAAGTGGTACTTACTAATATTATGATTTTCTAAACTATAAGTAAATGAAGAAAACAAAATCTCATGAGTAATTATTAGTAATAAGAGTATGACATGAATCTTTATAAACTATTGCCTATTAGGTGCATGAAGAATTAAGATCTATATCGTGACAATGTGTCACTTTAAAATATATTAAAAAGCAAGTTTCTCAATACTCAAGAATGATATTGTTATCCATAAACCAGGTTGAATAATCCTATGCACTCATGTTAAAAAAAATCTCATTTCGTCCAAGACTCTTAATAGGAATCTATATACATTACACATTAAGTTATCTAAAAGTAGTAGGATTGTCAGGTCTCGGCCTTCGTCGTCATTACAGAGGTGGTTACAAATACTGAAATGGATGCTCACATGGGAGGCCTGGCGCACAATGAGACAAATTCCAAGTTAGTTACAAAGAGAGGACAGATGGCAATCGATCCTGGAATCATGGAGCTAAGGAAGAGCAGTAGGAAGAGAGTATCAAATACCCTACTACAGGATTTTGTTAGTTAGGCAATTTGTGGTAATTCCTTCTTTTTCAATTCTTTCCCTTCTCTCTCATGAACCCTCTCTGAACATCATTCTTCTTTTCAGGTGCAAGGCATTGGAATGAAGTCAAGGTTGAAGACTCAATTATTGTCATCGCTTAATTTCTTTTCTTAGATACTATATTTCTATTTTGGTGAACCATACTCATTTTGCTACTGTTATTTGATTAAGTCTATTGTCATATTAAAACCTTTTTTTCTCAATATTAATATCAATTCACAGGTACAGCCTTATTTCCTGAGATTTAGATTTACGCCCTTACATTTAGTGCTTTCATTGACCATGGCTGATAGTACAAGGATGAAGACAATGGAGGCAAAGATTAAAAATTACTACCAGTTTATGGAAGGAAATGCGGAGGCCCATCGAGCTGATATTGCTCGAATAAATGAAGCCAATCAATGTCGACTGGAAGCAATTCAACAATCATTAACTCAGGTTTTGTAGAATCAAAACTCTACCCACAATTTTTCATCCCACCAGGAGCATAACCATGGTGCGAACTCCCACAATGACCTCCACATTCAACATTATCATTCGTTTCCAATAAGAAGAATGAACTTTGATCTTCCCCGATTTGATTGTTCTGATGCGCTGGGTTGGATATTTAGTGTTGATCAATACTTCGCGTTCTATCAAATTCCAGAAGAGGAACAAATTGATATTGCCATTGC